TCTATTCAATATCATCGTCCAAACCTTTCAGACAACAGCTCGCCCTCATTGTCCGATGCAATAAAAAACTGTAAACTGTTTCATGATCCTGTGTCGAGTCTTTTCTCCCGCGCAACACGCAACCCTTTTTCGCGCACAGATGTCAGTCACCCTACGAACCCCGCCATAGACTTTCCACAACCACCTTCTGCCCTCGCTGCGAAGTGACAGTCATGAGCAACGTTGCCTGCCACTTCCTTTGCTATTTGCTCTTTTGCCTACCGCACAATGTCGTATCTTACACGTGTACATAGCTCCACCGGTACTTAACACCGCCGTCGCTCCTCCCACAGTAAACACGACCAAGGTCTTGAGTCTCTCCTACAAGCAACGCATGCTCAATTGGTCATCCACACTTTTCATTTCTCCACATTTCTCCACGAAATGTCAAAAGCAATGCTGTTGCAATACACACCATCTTTTTCCTTCCTTTTTCTGCAGTTGCGAGACCGCGGCAGAACGTTGACACCTCTGCTTTCTATTATTCCGTTGGAATCCTTTCCATAGAAAGCACCGCGTGGCAAGGACAACTATCTTCCCATTGAAACAGCATGCGCACCCAAACACCTTTTTCTTCTACTGCTGCCAAAAATCTGATCAATGACAACGCCGCAATGGACCACTGTTACATACAACTTTCTTGCTGTGTGGCAAACACGTGTAGTCAAATAACCAAATCGCCTTTCCCGCTACATTTTTTGTGAGGAGATGTCCCCTCATGTTGGCCTCTGCCGATTGGTACGGTATCGTTTGCTTCCGAGGGTACTCCCCTCACCATTTTACCTCATCTGAACAAATGCTCAACGACGCCGACCTTCCTCACATGGTGAGGAGTGCCACACGAGGATCCACTTGGGCCTCCTGTGACATTTTGTTTTCTTTCAAGAGATTCTGGAAGCCTATGCAACAGATACATATAGTCTCACACTGATTGCTCTTGCTCTCCCCCTACTGGACTGTAGCTCTGACGAGGCATTGTCTGAACAACTTAGAGAGCCGCTTTTCTTCATTCTTGTCCTATTTCAAAAATAAGCACGATTTCCCCTTATTTAAAAAAGGCTATTACAACTGCTTCCTCCTCGTCACAGCTTGCTCCGTGCGTAGGGTGCCCTTACATACACAACGTATGGCGCCCCATTTCGCAGATGCCAAAGACATATGTTAGCTGATGTGTCGCAACGGTGCACTTTTCTGTTCCATCTCAACCGTTTTTACTATTCGATACACTGCGCTGTACGAAGATCAATGAAATCCACATGCAAATGCCGCGATGAGTTCACGCGAAACGTCCACAGCCGATTTCAGATGCTTTTTTGTTACGTCTTCCATTCCCATTTCTCCCACAGCTATCCTACTTTAGAGAAAAGGACACTGCCTGCAACCTCCATGCACAAGTCGCGCTCTTCGTATTATACTAAGCGGATGTGACGACCATATACCGTTGAGAAGCTCGAGGGCGATATCCTACTCCCAGTAAGAATTTTGACATGCTTGCTTAAAAAAACACCCTGCATTCCACGTTTTTAAATAATAAAAGGGCCTCGCAGCAATGTTTTGTGTGCTGAAGGAACGATTTAACGATGCCTCATTTATTCCGCAACCTATCTCTCGCTTCCTTAAGCATAAGCTGTAAGACTATCGGCCCTGCGCCGTCGTCTGTGGGTGACCGTGCGTGGTGTACTGCGTGTGCACGTGTGCACGTGTATGGGTATTATCACATTTTGCACCTTATTTTCAAATTTTACAAGATTAAGAAAGTAGTGTTTCTTCCCTACACGACCAACTTCTCCAAGCTGGCAAAGCATGGCATATGTAAAAATAGAGGACAAGTATGGCGCAGCAAACACCAATCGCAGAAGACAGGCACAATAACAACGAATTATCCACCTCAAACGTTAACTGCTTTCACTGCTTGCGACGTACGCATATTAATCTCGCGGCCGGCATGGACAGCTATCATACGCCGATCGTGTACTTGAGTTGCGACAGGTGATTCTGTTTTACGAACGAGGATGACAGTGGCCAAACTTGACAAAGTTAGAAAAGTGCATGCGTTTATTTTCTTGCTTTGCAGTAGGGATTCTTCCCCAACTACAAAGCAAACATCAAAGCAGCAACTGTATAATCTTCAGTTTGATAAAGCTGTCGACAAGTATGCGCGATGAAGTGGAGGCAGCACCGGATGAGTCCAAGACGACATAAGAGAATTGATGCCATAAAAGCGGAGTGAAGAAACCCATCTTTTCGAATAAATCAGTTGAGCTGTTTTCTGAGTATGGTGGCGCCTCTTTCATTTGATGGTCGAAAAAATTCCGGAGTCAGCACGTGAAAAAAGTGCTGGGCCTTTCAGAGAAATGGAATACCGCACGAAAGCGGAAGCGAGTTCTTTCGTCTCACACAGTGTCGAGAGAAGAAGGCAACTGTTGAACCCGTTACCACAGAAAGCGATGAAATGGGTTGCAAGTGTCGAAAACTATGCGATGTATTCGGAGTACACTTTTATCGCTTCTTGATTATACCTTTTGTCATGCTCACTAACCTCTTTTTGACCTGCTTCGATAATGTTCGAGAGTTGTCCCAAGGTAGGGCGGTCTCATCTATCAGAGAGAGTTGATTCGGGTTTCGAACAGAGCGTGCAGAGCATGGGATCGAGCACACTCTGCTACTTGGCCTTGCTTGTGAGCCCGCCGTCCTGAACACCAAGGGGGCTTGGGGCCACCTCGAAAATGACCCCTGCACTGGGCTACGTCCTTTCAGCCGCCAAAATCGACATTGAAGAGTGCCGCACACCCTCGTGGGAGCTATGAAGTCACTAGCCCGGTCTTTTCCATTCCTTCTCATTGACCACCCTCGTAGCTTCCGCTCCGTCTCTCCGCAGAACATCATGTAAGAGGAGCACGTAGTTAGTGCACGGATTAGAGGACTGAGCGATTGAGGGTGGAATCGGAACTAGGTAGATTAATTCTGCTTGGGGTATCGCTCTACTGCCCCGTCTTTCTTCCATAGAGTGACAAAACCTCGTGAGGGCGACGCACGGCGTACCCCCATGCGTCCTGCCCCTTGTCTCGACATACTTTTCACGCGCCTTCAAATAGAAACCTCTCTTCGACTGCCCTGGGCTCTCTCGCGAGAAGAGATCCTTTATCATTGCTCTCAAGCCTGCCCCCGCCCCCAACCATTGCCTCTCCAGCACCCATGCCTGTACAGTTGAAGGCCCTAACCCACCAGACCTCCTTTTTCCCCGTCATGATTCCAGAACGAAATACTCAATTGTGGCGGCCCCCCTGATGCAGCTACAACGGTTTAACCCACTCCATGTCCCTCTCATTTACTCTCAAATCGCTCTGATAATACCCTCCCCTGCGTAGAAACGATCGAATGAAGTCCATCCCGACCCTCCGATGTCTTCTCATACTGTCTGTTGTCCATCCTTCCATAGCATTGTCCCTCTGCTCATTCAGCTTCTCCGTGTAGGTTTCACTTTCTGCCCAATACGATCGGTTAGAGTGCACTCCTAAAACCTATGGTGCCCCCCCCCCCCCCCCCCCCCCCCCCCCATCACTACGACCACTCAGGCCGCCAGACCGCCAGACGGTCAGCTCCCACCTGTACTAGGGCCGTGTCATGCGCACCATCGTCCACGACATGATCGCAGTGTCCCAAGTTCCAGCCACTATCCAAATGCTTGTGTAAAGGCATGAGATGCCGAGGACCTGAGTATACAGTAGTACGGCTCGGGGAATCAGGACGTTTAAAGCTAACAGTATTCTGTTCCAAAAATATAAATCAATTTCTTTCCAGTTGGAAATTGTCCTCCTTGTTGTGTATGACCATTTACAGGACGTAGGAATATATGGAATGCTCTCGCGTTTGATGCCCATTCAGTACTCGGTATACTTTTTTTCAGTGGCAGGAGCACCACAGGAGTAAACCAAATGCACGAAAAGTCTGCAACATCAAGTTCGCAATGAAAATCTGTAAATATATGCAATACAACATCTGCGCAAGAAGTCATAGAATTTTATATAGGCGTAGCCTATACCGAACAACCGAACAACTGTGTTGAGAGTGGATGTCGGTGACCTCGCCTCGCCGGTTACAATCGATGACAATTGGTCACGTCTACGAATTGATTCAATATGAAGTTGCTGTAAAGGACGACACTGCAGTGGACTAGAACGGACTCTAAATCGAAGGGGAGCACACAATAGCAACGAAAACCGCCGAGCGATATCTTAATCAAATGTGCTTATCATACTGATTACAGTTGGCCTTTCATGTTTTCATGTGTCAGCGATGAAATATTGTTCCACAAGGTCAATCTTTGGATGGACTGCGTAATTCTGTCCCACCCGCTCGTCATGGAGAGACAGGGCAATGTCAGGCTGTTCCAATTTAGCTGATTCCGATTTAAAGGTCTTTCGCCAATAACTCGCTGTTTACAGAGTTAGGTTTGAGTGCAAACTGCAACGAAAGCCACTGAGCTACGGTGGCTATCATAAACCGCGACATGATAACAGGTTCATGTAATGCAATGTCGATAACTCCTCTGCCTGTGATAATTATCCGACCTGGGCTTGTCCTCATATGAGTTTTTCGCGAAGATGTATAAATTAATTTGGTTATTTAAAAGGCTTGCTTAGACACTACTTCCTTAACGAGCTTGTTTCGGCAATAACATTGTGATGCAAGATCGATGCCACTGTTTACTAATGTCTAATACTTGTCTTCTTTATAAAGGGAGGCTAGGGGTCCGTAGGCCGGCAGCCAGTGAGGCGAGCTGATCGTGCAGTCAAGCGTGTGCTACGTGTGCACGTATGGCTCTCATGGCTGCTGACTTTGTCTGACCGCACAGGACAGGCTGTAATTAGAGATATATCTAGGTAGAGCCGACGACGCGTAAAGGTGAAGAGGGTATCGGACCCCGTGTTTACACAGGTTATAGGCTCCTTTCATGCAAGACCGCGCAGATACTCACAGCGACCATCCCCAACGCCCCAACCAAACACAAACTGGTCCCTCCCCGCCCGTAGGAAAATGGCCCGCCACACACAAAACACAGCAATCAGCAGAGAACTGCTCACATACACACCACCCACACGCACCAACCCCAAAATGGAACGAAGGACAAACGTACTATCGTTCAACTGCGACAACTACAGACCCTTTGATGGTTGCTCTGCGATTTGCGGCACATTCAACAGACGCAATCCACCAGCTAGAAGGCAACCCAGATCCACCACCAACAGAAGCAGAAAATCAAACGTTTCAACAGGCCAAGCTCATGCTACTCCGTAAAATAATTACTACCATACCCAGCCAAAGCGCCAACCTCGTACTCACCACGAGCAATACCATACCGCACAATCTCGTACAGGCAATCACATCTCACCTGGACACCGCCCACGTGGACGACCAAAAGTACCTCAAAAAGCTAAATAATCACACTACACGTCCGTCAGGATCCTCGAGGAATGTAGTTTAGTGGCGGTTGCCAGCTATGATCTAGCTCGAGGAAGAGGTGATGACAAACGAGGGCTGTCCCGTGGTAGATCGGGACGGTGGTAGAGCAAAGGGGAAGTACGTAGACCGACTGTAAAAGAACAATGTACTGGTCAAAACACGGGCCCGGAATGGGACCAGCACTGGAAGGGGTTGTGTAAGAAGTCACAAAACAGGAGGAACCCGAGCCTGGAGACTAATGTCAGAAACGGGCTGAGCGACAAGTAACAGGAACCCCTGGATGGAACGAGAGAGGCAGGTTTCAGTAGTACCACGAGACTACAGGCTTTTTGTAGCCAGCGAACTGAGAATCGTCGAGGTATAGGTGGAGAGAAATGGTTTGTGCGACAGTAACAGGCCTAAGCTCGAGGATAGTCTTAACCCGCATAGTTGTAACAACTGAGGAGACGAGAAGTAAAAAGTAAAGGCAATAGAAGCTAAGGAAACGTCGCAAGACAGATGCTGGCAATGTCTCCTAAGTCAGATGCTTTCTTGATCCGCGGTGTGGCACCGTCGAAGGAAATCCGTTCCCAAAAGATCCTTGACTGTTTGCTGTCATTGCCCGGCGCCGTCGCTTAAATAAGCGAGCTTGCCAGGTCTTGCACATTTTCCACCCTACTGTACTACTGTACTCTACTGTGCAATGCACTGTACTATGCCATTACTTCTGTACCTTGTCATATACAACCTTTGGGCTGTAATGTATACAGTGCGTCGTCGCCTGTAATGCCCACGTGTAGTTCGTCTGCTTGTAGGGCACACGTGTAGTCGCGCGCCTGTAATGAACCCCCGGCGGTGGGTGCTGTACAAAGTACAAATCTTGGCTGTGCCACCACAAGGAATACATCAGCATGTACAAAAACACAATAGCCAAAATAATCTCTGTTAAATACCCCGACATCCAAGATCTTCGAACAACCGTAAAGTTTATGATCAATGGGCTACGAAACAAACCGACGACAGTCGTCGGTTTGTTTCGTAGCCTGTTACAAACCTATCGCTGTAGTGACTGCAGCGATAGGTTTGTAACAGATCACACTCAACCCCGCCACTCTGAAGAATGTAGTGCAATGCGCCTGTCAGGCAGAGACCGCGGTCCGATGGTCCAGCAAAAACAACAACAGCAACAAAAAGAACAACTGCCGACGGCACAGCGCTACAGAGTGTCCGACTCTCCCTTCTCCGTTTAAACGAGCTTGCGACTCGAAGTAGCTCAGATCCCTGATAAGGGGGGCACAGAGAAATAGCCCGGCCCGGGATCGATGTGATAGAGACTTGCGAAGAGAACTGCTCGACGAGTGTGGGGTGGGGCGTGTACTTAGGTACCCCGGTTCCACTGGGTTGTAAGGCCAATGCTCGTTGAGCTTCTTCGACACCTTGTAACGCGACAAGGCCTTCGACGGGGGCGTCGCAACGCAGCCCGACTGGATGAAATGAAAGTAACAGCGCTACACCAACTGTGCCGCCCGATGGCTCGAAACACCTTCACCGGTTCCGTCGCAACCGAGGCCGATGGCACCAACATTGGCTTGTACACACGACAAAGCCCTTCGAGAGAGACGTCGTTGCAACAGTCTCCGTCGGAAAATAGGTCACAGTAGCAGCGCTACGTCAACTGTGTCGCCCAATGGCCAAGACACCTACACCGGTTCGGTCGCAACCGAGCCCGATGGCACCAACAGAAGATAAGGGAAAATAGGTAGAATTAGAGATAGAAAAGGAAAGGGAAATAAAGGAAAAGGAAAGGGAACCCCCGAGCGCAAAGGATAAAGTAATCTGTAGTAAAAGGGAATGTCTTGTGAAAGACGGGCTTCGACCAAGGCGATATCAGACTCTGGCAACTCGGGTTACCTTTACTGACTTGGTGGTCAGTGGGCTAAGGTATATATCGCCCCGCCGGAGCCACTACAGTAGCTCTCGGCGCTAGATCCTAGATTTAATCTAATGTCAGCAAAATTAATACTGACTAATTAACTAATTAAAATTAATAATTAAAATGAAAACTGTGCAAATATTCACACGTGTGTCCCCCAATCCCGGACTACAGTATTCACATTCCAACTTAGTTTCTTTTCACTTCACCCTCCTGTATACCCCCATATTGCACTACAAAGAACTTTGCGCACAAATACGACAGAATCCCAATGTACCGAACAGTGGCAAACCAACAGGACCAGATCCAACCACAAAACAATCCGGCCAAAACCGCGCGCAGATATCCCATCCAGTACCCACGCCAACATCCAGTGTTCAGACACATCACGAACTCATGTCGCCATCACAAACAACGAGGTTTCATGAACCTGCGACACACTAACATGGAATGACGACACCCCAAGCACTCTCAACACCTCACAAGGGTGAAAGTGAAGATACGAGCACGCGCAGTATGAAAAGCGGACGACATCTACGAGTACAACCAAGATGATCTGCAAGAATACGACAAGAGGAAGACAACATGACCTATGTCCCATGTACGTTCATAGTGCACTCCGGAGCACACCGGACCCACCTCACACGTCCCACGCAGCACATGCGCAAAACATCAACGCAAAGCCACACATACACGGGAGCTAACACGTGCTACAAATGCACACACAATGGTAAGACGACGATTATTACGAATAGGAGCATACAACATAAACT